CCCGCCGAACCCCCTCCCCCCCACAGTGTCAGGCGCTCGGGCCCGGGAACCCGAGGCGCGCGGTGGGGGCCGGGGAGGGGGGCGGAGGGGGAGGGCCGGGGGTGGAGGGGAGAGAAAAGCGAAAGTTAGCGAAAAGTTGACGAAAGGGGAGAGTAACTTTTCCTCTCGCTCGCTCTCTCCCTCTCTCTCTCCGAGTGGCTCTCAGTCCTGGTCAAATCATATTCCGGGCTTTTGAAATAGTGGGCGCTAGAGCACCGCCTTTGGCGTCCGCCAGCCGGGCTCAGAGGAGGGAGACCCCGAGCCGGGGAGGGGGCGGAGGAGGGGGCGCGGGCCGGCGCCCACCCGGCTCCCCGGGAGCAAGGGCAGGGTTTGCGCAGGCAGGACGGCCGCAGCCGCTGGGGAAGCAACATGGAGACTTTTTCCTGCGCTCGGAACTGTGGTGGTGAAGTTTATTCCCAAGTGGTGCCCCGCGTGGTGGCCGGCGCTCCTCTGTAACTCCGGCAGTTCGCTCGGGCCGCCCGGTGCCGGTGCCTCCGGCAGCAGGGTCCCCACCAGCCGCTTTGCGACCCGCCGCCCTTCCCCAGTTGGCCTCGCTCCGACTCTCCCGCACACGGTCTCCCTGGCACCCGTGAGGCCCAAAGGGACGAACTGCCCGGGCGAGACTGCCAGGGCCCGGGTCTTACTTTCTCTTTCGCTCCGCCCTCGGCCGAGCCTGGGGCTCTGCGCGCAGCCAGCCGCGGGCCAGTCCCCACCGCTGCCCGCGAACTCCCGCCGTCTGCACCACCGCCACCGCGTCTCCCGGAGCAGCCCGCGCGCCCTCCTAGCCCGGCGCCGGCGCCATCCGCTACGAATCGGGCCGGGGGCTTCGGCCCTTGCAGCCAGCAGGTGGGGACCGGCTGCACCGCGGCAGGGGAAGCGCGGCTTCAGCAGACCGGGCCATGGCCCGGTTACAGCGAAGCGGCGAGCGCTGTGCGCAGAGGATACGAATCGCTCATCCCTGCCGCCCCCTCCTCTACCGCTGGCCGGTGAAAGGGGCGCCCGGCACGCTGGCTCGAGGTCCCTGCCTGATCACCAGGCAGTTCGGTCTGCCCCTCCAGGGCTGGATCCTGCCTGGCTTGGCCTCTCGGTTTCCAGAGCCGAACTCTAAAAAGCATGAGCCCAACGGGTGTGGGATTTGTGATAGTTTTCCGAAGCCAGGCGCTTTCAGCTCCGGACCCTGCCGAACTTGGCCCCACCGCGGCCCCAGCTGCCTTTAGGCCGCGCGCCCACCCTACAGGGAAAAGCAACTTCCAACCTCCACCAGGCTTCCCCGGGCTCTGCGGTTCGTGGCCCCTTGGTTAGGAGCCCCTTTCCCGCCGAGCTCCCTGGCCAGCTGCCCTTGACCTCGGCCTCCTGGGCCACCCATGACCTCTGACCCCTCTTGGTGCGAACAAGGCCAGTAGTTGCCCAGAGGATACGAATGAGCTGTGTGCATACTGCGTGACTATCCACGACGCACGGAGCGGGTGTGCTGTGTACTGTTAAGAGTCTGGTGGGCACCGTGGAGTTTTCAGAGTCTCAGCCCCCGGGCTGCAGGCTGGGCTGGTCAGGCTCTCGCAGAGGAAGGACCCAGAGCTGGAAGGAGAAGAGTAAAGCTACTGCGCTCCTTTTGTCGCCGCCTTCGCTGCAAGCGAGAGACTGGCTGAGCGCACCCTGCGCGGCCCCGGAAACTTCCCAGAGGTCCACAGCCAGTCGGCGCCCTGCTGGGCCTCAGCTCTCCGCCTGCTCCACCTCCAGGTGGGGAAGGTTACCTGGCCCCGGCTTTACTTAGGGTCGGAACGGGCTCCCGGCTATGGTCTTGAGGCCTTTCCTGGAGGCCCAGAACCGGAGGACACAGCCGGTGGGAGTGCACTGTTGAGGCTTCTCTTTGCCGGGCGTCCTTAGAAGCTGCCCAGAGTCCCCGCTTGGGTGTCACCCCGAGACAAGTTTCCAGGCTCTGTGATTTAGTATTGCTGCCGCCAAAGCCCCCTTAAGAAGGTGGTCCAGGCAGCTCGGGATGAAGACAGCTCAGGGCCTACCGAGGACTTTTGGATTTTATTAGACAATATTTTAAGCAGATGTGGCAGGCTCCTGGGGCACCTGACTCCATTACCTGAAGCAAGGATGATAAGCAGGCACTCAGCAGCCAGCCCAGCTGCCTCTTAGGCTGGCCAGCAGGGTCAGGGTCAGGGGAGGGAGCAAGGTCATGACGGTTCAGGGTTTTGCACTGCCCTTGCTTGTGGGCCCTTGAGCAGTCACTGAGACTGTGCTGAGGGCAGAAGGACATCTGGGCCAGTGAATGTGACCTCAGGACACAGGGTTTGGGAGGCCTGTCCGGGGTGTGCATCTTGAGGTGTAATTTCGTTTGTATTTCTTGGTAATCCTACTCTAGACATCTGTCTGCCTGGCTTACTCGAGCTGGGCCTTTTTAGGTGCCCCCACTTGATAGAATTTAGGGGCCCAGTAGAGACTTATGTTGAGCTTTCTAAGGATAGAGGTGTCTGAGGCACCCCCACTGGGGACTGTGATTCAGCTAGTGGGAAACCTAAGCCTGAGGCAGGGGCAGAGTGAAGACAGTTCAAGGCAGGGGTCCCCTTGCTCATCTTGGTCCCGTGCTCATCAGTAAGGACTTGAGGCTGTCCTCACCCTACATTTAAAAACGAATTTCTTAGCAATAGCTTATTCTTGCCACTGCTGTGATCCAGGTTGGCAGGAGGGGGCTTGGTTGGTGATGGTGCCCTCCTGACCTCAGTAACTACCTCCACAACTCGAACACTATAGCTAGGAACCCCGCCAGAGCCACACTTAGAGAGCTGATTTCTACGGAGGCGACAGACCCATGGTTCCAAACACCACACATCCCACCCTGCTAGGTGTGGGGCTTCGTGTGAGTGTTGTGTATGTTGGGGTGCTGAATTGCTAATTCAGTGTAGTAGTTGTGTGAAGCAGGCTGGTTGAAGGAGGCCCAGCTCATGGCCTGTGCCCTTCCCTCTTGAGACAAGCTGGGGCCTATGCTGTCTCACTCTTGCTCTTCTACCCTCTGCAGAGAAGGGAGAGCCCAGGAGACAATCTTTTCTCTGGGGCTGCCACGGCAGCAGGAACCTGTAGACGGGAATTGATTGCCTTGCCCGCTTTAGGCGAAAGGTGGAGCAATGCTTGGTGGAGGGGCAGCCAGGGTGCGGGGCTGGTGGCCAGGGTGCCCTGAGGCTCTGTGCTGTGTGCCACAGGCCTCGCTTCCGCCACCCCGGGTTGGTGTTCAGGGTTGGTGTTCAGGGTCGGAGGCCTGGTGTGTGTGGGTCTTGCCAAAGCCAGTTTGTAAAGCACGTGCTGGGTAGGTCCCCTCAGGCTGTGCCCCAGGGTCTCTGACTGCTGCTGCTGCTTCAGCAGTCTGGAAGCCTGGGAAGAACAGGTGCGGATTAGACCTAGCCTTTCCTCCTCCCGTTTCTGTGACCCCCACACTCCTACCTGGGTAGTGCTAGGGACAGAGAACTAAGTTATCTCTCTCTTTAGAGGCTATGTAAGGGTGGCAATGAGCTCCCCCCGCCCCCAGGGCGACACTGCCTCAGCTGTGACTGCTTACAGGGCTTCGGTGGGGCATGATTAGCCCTCTGTTTTATTCAATTAGGAGGCAATTAGGGATCCTTGGGGGAGGGGGCTGGTACTGGTAATTAAGGTTATGTATAATTAGAGTTACAACAAAATTATCCAGGATTAAAAATCTTTTGAGTAATTTCGTTAAAAAATTTCAAATAGCATTAAATACAATTTATCAGGTTTTGAATCAAAACCCGAAGCTCCGATAGAAGGCTCTGGGGAACAGCGTTAGCACTTTCCCTCAGGGAAGAACTTTGTGAGATGGAGGGAGTCTCTCTCTCTCTCTCTCTCTCTCTCTCTCTCTCTCTCTCTCTCTCTCTCTCTCTCTCGGCTTTAGCTTTGCTGAAAGGCAGCCTGGGTTAGGAGTGCAGATTCCTGCAGCCGGCTTCAGATTGCCAGTTCCCCCGCACCTGCCCAGGGAACTCTCTTCAGGTGTCTCCCAGCTCCCTTCTCACAAAGCCATAGACAGCTATGGAGCCTGCAGCCGTAAGTGTCCACACTGCACCAACTTACGCCTCTGACCTGACACCATGGCAAGAGTGCCTTTCTACTTGGGGGCCACCTTCTGGCTCCCTGGGTGTTCCCGCCTGTATTTCCAGACCCTTCCACCTGACCCAGAAATGCCCAGTCAAGGTCTCTGCCTGCAGTGTTCTCTGTACTCTCCTTTGGCTAACCTGCACTCTAGAATGCATACAGGTGTGCCCGCCCACCCCGGGTCTGAACTGGGGTGGGGAGAGTGATCCGGGAAAACAAGGTGGAGGGTAGCCTGCACTGGCAGTTGCTCTGCCCTTGTTCTGGGTGGCACCAGCCTGGGAACAGACCCTCAAAGTGCCTGTGGGTGCCTTCCACCCTCCTGGGTAGGTGGGAGCCAGCATCCCCTTCACTCACCCAGGGAAGGAAAGGAAAAATTATGGAACAGAGGGACACCTCCTCCAGAGGTAAGAGACCCCTAAATAGGTGCAGTAATTCATACTGTTACACGTCAAATTCAAAACCTTCAAGGTTTCTCACTATGGTACTGCAGTCTATAGTTAATTCCATAGTGTTTTAACTAATTAATTAATTTTTTTTAACATGTCAGGGTTAAAGCATCTCACGACCAATGCTTACTGTGGTCTGTTCTTAAGGTAGACTCCATGCATTATAACCTGTGAATGCAGCCATCAGATTTATC